AAAATTAGACATATCTTCAAAATATTTAGACTAGAACATGTAAACATAGTAGTTTCTACTAGTGCATTCAAACTTCAAAGTATTGTTTCTAAATTTAAATGTATAAAATTATGAATTTTGTAGATACAACAGCAAGTCGAGATTATTCGGAAAATTTGCTTTCGTGGGTTTAGCAAAACCCGGTGAAGCTGGTTCATGGCAAACCGAAAACAAGGTACTATATTTAAATTTGGAATACATTTTGGCACGGCCGCTACATGTTATAGAATGTGACATTTCTCTCAAACGCGTTAAAGTAATGACTTTTAATTAAAAACAAAATTTGAACAAAGGGATATCAATTTTGGACAAAAGCCGACAAGATGGGAATGTTCACCATAGCGAACGTGAGACCAGGGACTTATAGTCTCTACGCATGGGTTTCTGGATTTATCGGTGACTATATATACGAGCGTGACATTACAATCACACCAGGTAAATCTAATTTATTTATATCACATCTTTATAGTATATATACAAAATGAAATATGCGTGTAAGATCCAACTAGAAAATTCTAAAGGCCATTAGGTGAATACATTCTTGGTGGTTGGGGCACACTTGAAGAAGAACAATATAGGCCCCATCAAAGGCCTAATATTGTGGTTCACATTAAATTAAGATAACTCATTTGTTTAATTTGTGTGTTTGGTATAGGTAGGGAGATAAACGTAGGTTCCATAACGTACGAGCCGCCAAGAAGTGGTTCGACGCTGTGGGAAATTGGAGAACCAGACCGGACTGCCGCAGAATTTTTTATCCCAGATCAGGACCCAACACTTTTGACCAAACTCTCCCTAAATGACTCTAATCTTCCTCAAGACCGGTAATATAATCAATCATATTATTTACAATAAAAGAATTTTTCCAAAAAATAATGTTATATTTACATAACAATAATAATAATACAGATTTAGACAATACGGTTTATGGGATCGTTACAGTGTTTTGTATCCTCGAAAAGATCTTGTTTATATTGTTGGAGTGAGTGACTATAAAAAAGAATGGTTCTATGCACATTTGACCAGGTAATAATATTAGATTACATTTTCACAGTTCAGAAGTGTAGTTGTATATTCACTCAAATCTAACTGAGACAATGTATATATTTACAATATATAATTAGGAATGCTGGAAAAGGGATATATCAAGCAACGACATGGCAGATTGTGTTTAATCTAAAAACAGTGACTCAAACTGGAAACTACACGCTTCGAATAGCTTTGGCCGCAGCTACAACTGCAAATTTATTTGTTCGGATCAACGAAGCTAATTCCAAACCTATTTTCATGACTGGGTTAATAGGTCAGGATAACGCCATTGCGAGGCATGGAATTCATGGTTTGTATAGATTGTACAATATCAACTTTCATGGAAGCTTTCTTAGAGTTGGTAATAATGTTATTTTTCTTACTCAAAATCGGAACAAAGATTCATTTTCAGGTGTTATGTATGATTATCTTCGTTTGGAAAGTCCTCCGAGAGTTTGATGTAAATATGAGATATATATATGGTTTAGTGTTGGTTTACTTTATTGTATACTTTGATTATCTCATATTGGTTTAGGTTCTTGTATATAAACCATCTCTTGTATATTGTTTACACTTAATGAAGATTAAAACAAATGCTGAAATAGTATCAGAGCATTTTCCCCAATCTTCATCACATCTTCCGCAATTTTTTCTTTGATTTTCGTTTTCTTCTTTTGATTGATTCATCTTCTTCATCAAATTTGGATTCACTACTCGATTCTACTTCAATTGATCGGTTTCAATCTCCAATCGGTGAATTTTCCACGATCAGACTAGGCTCGGCTTATCAAGCAACGACACGGCAGATTGTGTTTAATCTAAAAACAGTGACTCAAACTGGAAACTACACGCTTCGAATAGCTCTGGCCGCAACTACAACTACAAATTTATTTGTTCGGATCAACGAATTAAGCTAATTCCAAACCTATTTTCATGACTGGGTTAATAGGTCAGGATAACGCCATTGCGAGACATGAAATTCATGGTTTGTACAGATTGTACAATATCAACGTTCATGGAAGCTTTCTTAGAGTTGGTAATAATGTAAATTTTCTTACTCAAAATCAGAAGAGCGATTCGTTTTCAGGTGTTATGTATGATTATCTTCGTTTGGAAAGTCCTTCGGGAGTTTGATGTAAATAATTAACGATAGGATATATATTACAAGTTTTAGAACTCAAATTGTTAATAAATAAAAATAAGTATATGCTTTTATTTGTAGCTTGTACGGATAGTTAAAGACCAATTTAATAGAGCTTTTGTTTAAGATCAAAAAGTGTTTATTGACAGTAGATGAGATGATGCCAGATTTTCAATAATTTACCAAGGTCTACTAATAACTTAAAGTTTTAATACTATACTAACTTACTAAGTAATGATTTTGTAAAGTGTAATATATTTGAATTTAAAACAAAAATTGGGTAGAAGAATTTAAAATATATTATTAAAAAGAACTAGAAAACAAGCATGCGCGCTGCCGGCCATTTAAAAGTGAAAAAGATAAATTAGTATGTCAAATCTAATTTTGTTGCTTGAGCACTCGTCCCCTCAAAGATTTTGTTGGCAAAGAAATCTTAGCAAAGACATGAGAGGTTGCTGAGACAGTTTTCTTATGAAATAGCAAACTGTTTGACATAATCGATACATGGGGAAAATGTTAAATTAATTTACCATTAGAAGATGACATGAAAAAAGTTTGTAGCCATTCTTTTATGGAACCTATCACAAAACCTCCAACCGTTGATAGAAATTGTATAGTTTTCTCTACCATCCAATAAGGTAATTGAAGAAAGATTTTAATACTAACAACTCTTTTAACAAGTACTTTTGTCTCCCATGGCATCTTGGTAATATCAGAAAAGTCCCACCAAACATACAAATAACCAATTCTGGTCCTTTGTAGATGAGGAAAAAAACTATGAAAAGGAACTAATATGTTTTAGTCCCTAATATGGTTTTAGTCCCAGATTAGCAATATTACTAATCTTAAGATAAATATTTGCAGCGAGTGTATGATGACACAATCACCAAGGATTCAACTTTCTCAAAGGTTTTGTTGAAGATATGCTCTCTTTGATTTTTTTGTTTTTGTGTTTGGTTCAATTTCGATGGATGTTTGACTAAGCAAATAAGTATAAAAGTACTTCTTGATAGACTAAAATCACACCCTTAGTGTTATTGCATTAAGAACACCTAAAAAAATACAGAAAAAACAAATATTACCTATTTGTCAAAGAAACTTAAAAGGTTATGCCAAAACTTAAAAGTCATCAAAACTATATCATATTCTAGGTGTGACATGATGTCCATCTCAGCTTCAAATGTATCCATATATTCCTTGGAGCCTAGAAAATAAAAGAGTAACCATGTTAGATTATATTACAACACATAACACCTCATAGATTGTATCATAATCAATGTCCAAGATATGTCAACTAAAGGATCTGGTGCACATCGGGTGCACTCGTGGAAATAAAAAAAAAACTAATTAAAAACACTTGGGACAACAAGTAAGATTAGAAAAATAAGGATCCTATATCAGTAGTAACTAATTCAATATGTGAATTGCCTAACAATGATGACTTGTTAACTTACAGTTAATGAATCCCGTCAACTTTTGGATAGCATCATGTAATGGTTGTTCAAAATTTTGTTCCACCTTTGAGTAACAGAGACCATCATAAAGTTATGACTAATAAATATCAAAAAGAGGTTAACATATGCATATATTTACAGAGAATCAAAATTGCATTACATGGATCCCATGTGTCGAAAAACAGAAAACAATTTTTAAAATCGTTGGAAAAGTCATTAAGCAGTTTGTCCACAACCTAAAGAGCAGAAAATATTTCTCGACATTTGGCTAAAGATGCAAGTCACATTCCATAGAAAATTTACTCCAAAACTTCCCCTAGTATACTCATACGTGTTTCGATCATCATTCCAAATTTTCAAATAGTACCGAGAAAAATCCAACAAAAATTATTTCTCCAACATATGAAATCTGCTTCTCCACACCAAATTTGGAAGAATTGCAAAACGGAAACCTAAAGCGGACGCTGAAGATCGAGCATAACTAGTATCAAACAAGAAATTACAATCGGAAAAGTAAAATACATAGCCTAAAATTCGCCTTCCACGCAGAAAAAGTTCTATCGCACTTCTGGAGCCAGGGATCAGCATCTTCACATATGGGTTATGATACAAAGTGTTTACATACTCTTTAACGATGTTTTTGATGCTCCATGGCTTAATCCTCGCCGTGAAATGTACTCGTTCGAAGCCTAAAAATGAGAAGATCACCGAATCGAATAAGGTCAAGATTGATGAACATAAATCAGATCGATTTGATATTTTTCGCTCTGTATCAAAATATTTTTTGGCGCCGAGAGAAATAGAGAAATCAACATTTTGATATTTGGGAGAACACATCTTAGACTTTTGAGTGATTTTAGTTCTGGAGATACGTATATACAACGTATCGTCCCCCTCCGATCCATGCATGTCTTATTCGGAGAAATGCTAGAAAACCACCAAACTATTATAAATTTGTAAAATTAGCACATATTTTCATAAAAATGTTGAAAAAAGCTCTTTGATCATTCAAATTTTGAACCACTGACGAAACCGGAAGCGCAGTTCTTTTGGTCTTCTCTTAAGCCGTACACACAAACTTAGACATCTTCATCATATATAGAATATTTAGAGTATCAAATTTACTAATTTAAAAGTAAAGACCGGGTTATAGCTGATAAGAGTTGCGTACGGATCATTGGGATCATTAATTTTCACCACTTTTGACAATTAAAATTATTACTCGCACTGTTAATTAGTTAGATAATATTTCAACAAAAAGAAAGAAATATTTTTTGGGATAGTTTTTGGAAAATTTACAAACGGATAATTCAGGTACCATGCATAATACATGACCCATACCCTTACCCGTTTTAATGAATTTTAGTTCATTATGCATGGGTGAATGTCCAATAGGAATATTTAGATATTTAAATTCTACGTTTATAAAGAAGCAAAAAAGGAGATTGGATAAGGATAAAATAGATAGTTAAAAGCATTACTGAAACATAAAGGTACTTGTATTTCAGCTAACATCGGAAACTTTTAGAAAATTTTGGATATTTTTTACCGAAATATGTATTTTATATTATACATACTGGAAAAATAACAGTATAATTTAGATCAGATAACGCAACAGAAATTCACATGCCTACACAAAATGGAAGAACTCATATAGAGGGTTTCAATATGGGATGAAATTTGTGGTATCCTTGCTCAATATTCATTCAAAGATTCGGCTCAAAATGTAATGGCTTCTTCAGGGGTGTAACTCTAGTTGAGTCACGTATCCATTTCATAGCTAAAATGTCATAATCTCTTGCTTCTTCCCTTTCTTCGTTTGTTTGGCCGACACGGTTAATTTCATGTATTTCAGAGTAACACATGCGATTGAGGAATTGAAGCCAACAATTTCTCTGACCGAAAATGCACGTAATCCTTTGACTAAGATGAGATCAGAATGTAAATACAATATGTATATGAGAATAGGTGTCAAATAGGGAAGATCCCAATGACCATTGCATACGAAGGATTTAAGATTGGTTAACTCTTCTGGTAGATATTTTTGGACTCACTCATAGTAGTACATATGTTTTTGATAAACAAGTAGTACAAATGTTACCTACAGAGTCTCCAAAGTAAATCAAATAATGTGTCTATCTTAACAACCTCTGAATTTTGGAGGATCAATTTCAAGATTGATTGCTAACAATACTCTTTTAACTCAGTCACAAGCAGCTCTAAAGTTTAAATGGCTTGGACACGGAGTATCGTGGTTGTTTTTTTTAATAAGTTATTGGATGTGACAACCGTTTTAACGTTATTCATATATATGAATGTTTTAGCTTTTCAAAGAAAGGCAGCAAGAATAAGGATTAGATATCGCTTTCTTTTAAGTCGATACAAATACCAACATAATCATTTTAAATATGTTTGGTGGCTCTCTTCTAATATCACCAAGATTCCATGGGAGACAAGGTACTTACTAAAAGAACTGTTAATATCAACATCTTTCTTCAACGACTTTTTTGGATGGAGGAGAAAACATTACAATTTATTTCAATTGTTGGAGGCTTTGTGATAACTTCCATAAGAGAATGGCTACAAACTGTAACGCCCGCGAACCAAAATTTAGGATTTTGGTGCATGTGTCGATCGACACAGGGGGTGTGTTAATCGACGCAGGTTGCGAATTGAACCGGGTTGGTTCGATTTTAGTTGTCGGTTCGGCTTAGTTAGGAGAAAACCCTAGGGCTTCCTTATAAAAGGGCTATGGCCGTGTTTTTGGTTGAGTTTTTCAGGTCCAGAGAGTTTCAGAGAGTTTCCAGAGAGTTTGAGAGATGATTTGAGAGAAAAGGAAGAATCATTGTTGATTTCTTCGAATTCTTGATCCTAAAAGCTCGTGGTTGTGTTTGTGAGGCTCTGGGGATCAATCTGGTACTTGTTCTCGCGAAGAAAGGAGAGGTTTTTGGATTTGGAGATCCGTGTTCTTCGTATTCTTTGCATTCTTCGTGGTTTTTCATCCTTTTTCCATTACAGATCCAAAGTGAGTGCATGACCATGGCTTATCTTGGTAAATTAATTGATAGAATGCGATTGATTATGTTTGTTGGTTGGATTTCGTGTTGCTTTGGTGAATTTCGTGCAGAAGATCGATGCGATCAGGAATCGATCAATGAGAGGATAGGTTCGATTCTTGGGTTTTGCGTCGTGCGTCGATCGACACAAAGCAATTGCGTCGATCGACACAGTGTACGACGATCGACACGGGGGTTGCATGTCGATCGACACACTGAGGCTGCA